GACTTTCTCCCCTCTCTAGTCTTCTGTTATCTTAGACCGAGAGGTGGGGGGGTAGTGGAGGTGAGGAAGAGGGACTGGGGCTGGTGAGAGGAGTGACAGTTTAGCCACTCAGTGCTCCTTGAGAAGGGTGGGTGGCCCTGTGGTCATTTGGAGCTCTGTGCGCAGTCCCTGATCCCAGTCAGCAATCTTCTTCACACCACCATTTACTGAACATGTCCCACGTGTGAGGCACCTGCACACGAGAGCCGTTCATCTTAACCACACACCTACACAGCATCCTCATGCATTTCCATTTCACAGATGAGGAAACTGATGTTTAGAGGAACTGTGCTGCTTCAGGTTACCTGAACAACAGGTGGGGGCTGGCCTTGGAGGCCTCCTTTCAGAGGCAGTGACTAGACACTGCACTCCTCTGCCCTTCAGGCCCTGGTGAAGAGGAAGGAAGGAGAGAGGTGATCTGGGGGTTGCCTAGGGGGTTCACTCTGGCCCAGACCACTTTTCTGTGCTTTTTGCTGGAGTGAGCCACCTTGCCTGAATGAGACAGTGTTGATTTTCCTCCTTCCCTGTCTGGCTTTAATCTTAAAGATCAAACCTTCTTTGCTTCTTGTAGTAACATCTATGATTCTGTCCTTTGTAAACTCACCCAAATCTTTTCTTTTTTACTATTTTAATTTAAATTTTGCTCCTACTGCTTCTTTTAAAAAATGCCATTTTTATTTTTAGCAATCACCTCCTTCTTTTGCTTTGCTTCTGAGCCCTAAAGGACGCCAAGAGGGTCACAGACTGGCCTGCTACCAGGGTCTGCAGTGCTGTGATGTGGGGCAGGTCTGGGGCACAGTGGAGCAGGGGGAGTGCAGTGAGCATGGCAGGGGTGAGGAGAGCCAGGCTGGACGCTGACAGAGTTGAGATGCTGAGGGTAGGCAGTAGGGGTGCAGTGGAGGCCCAGGGTACAGGGTGCTTGGGGTACAGTGGGGCCAGATAGAGTGCAGGGAGGCCAGACTGAGAGAGGGGAGTCAGAGTACAGTGGGGTGCCCATGTGTGGTGAAGGTGAGGGTGCAGTAGGGTGCCGGGGTAAGGTGTGGTGCTGAAGTGTGGTGGGATATTGGGATGTGATGGGGTACTAGGGTGTGGTGGGGGTCAGCATGCAGTGGGATGCTTGGGTGTGCTGGGGGTTGGGGTACAATGGGGTACCAGGATGCAGCAGGGTTTGATGTGCAGTGGTCTGCCAGGGTGTGGTGGGGTCAGCATACAGTGGGGTGCTGGGGTAAGGTGGGGTGTTGAGGTGCAGTGGGGTTGGTGTGCTGAGGGAGCTGGCTAGAAGCAGCTCATCCCACTGTGAACCCCTGGGATGAGAGATGGCAGGGACTGGAAGATGGCTGGAGGAGAACCCTGTGGGCCAACTTCTTCAGAAAGCCTCAGGCCCATTTCTGGCCTACTAAGCCTTTAATTTAAAGTCAGCCTAGCTACCATTTTAGTTTTCTTTTACATTCCTCAGCACTTTTCCTCCTGTTTGGGGAGGAGAGTTCCCCCTGAAGTGTCTTCACCCACTTGGAGGTGAGTGAGGCGGTGTGGGGGAGAGGGAGCACAGCCAGGTGAACTTGCTCTGTAAAGGGCCCAGAGTGAACATCTGCCCAGCTGTTCCACCAGGCTGTGTCTGTGCTGGAAAAGCAGCCCTAGACAATATGTAAATGAAAGGGCATGGCTGTGTCCCAATAAAATTTATTTATGGATACTGAAATTTGAAATTCACATAACTTTCTCATGTCATGAAATATTAGTCTTCTTTTGGTTTTTTCTAACCATTTAAAAATGTTAAAGCCAATCTTAGCTTGCAGGTGTACAAAGCCAGGTGGTGGGCAGTGGTGAGCCGCACCTGGAGCTCAGGGGTTGGGCCTCCACAGTAGTGGGGTCAGCGGGGAGACAGCTGAGCTCTTAGGGCAATAACGGGGGCAGAGCCGAGTGCTCTTCTCTGAGCTGGATTTGGAGGGTGGCAGCGGCAGCAGTGGTTTCTCCTTTTATAAGCTGTGCACACACAGGTCTCCTCCCTCTCTGTGGATTTGGCTCTGTGCACTCCTCCCAGAAGAAGCAGGGATTTGAAGGGCTGGAGTGGGATGGCTGGATGGTCGGGGCCAGGGAAGGAGCTGGTTTCCAAGATCAGGCAGAAATGAGCAAAGATGTCAAGGTGGATGTTGGGGATCCAGAGACTGGATGGGAGGGTCCTTAGGAAAAGCATCCATCCTGCCCCAGCTGGAGGAAGGCGGCTCTGCAAACAGAGCCCAGACCCTGCTCCGTGGAGTTTGCATTTCAATGGAGGAAGGAAGACAATAAACATACAGAAAGAAATATGAAATGGTCCAGGTGTTGACTGACTAGCGCTAAGAAGCAAAATGAAGCAAGTGGCCCAGCAGTGAGGGTTACAGTGAGGGTGTGGGGTGGTGCTGGCGGTGGGGGTGTGATGTGAGCCCTGCAGCTGGGGTGGAGTGTTGCAGGGAGGCCAGGGCAGGTCGGGCCATCCAGGGCCTGACAGGCTTTTCGGCACCTGAGAAAGGCCCCTGATATCCTTGTGAATTCTAAATGGTTGGCTGGGGCTGGGGCCTAGGGACCATGGGGGGCAGGGAAACAGGGTGGGACACAGCCTGGTCACTATTGTTGGGGGCCTTTAGCCATTTTATTCCTTCTTGCATTTTTCTTCTCTCTTACCACGTATGGGACAAGTCTCGTACACTACGGCCCTAACTTTGTTGCCTCTGATAAGCCTCACCATCTGCAGCTCAATTCTTCAGACCTTGCCAAACTTCAGTCTGACAAATGATAAGAAACTTGGAGACAAAGCTCTCTCTGGTGGGTGTGAGCTCCGTGCCAGGCTTGCTGCCTCCCGGCTCTCCACGCTGGAGATCCATATGGGTTGCTCTGGGTTTTTAAAAAAGCGCATCGCCTCATGTCCTTCTTTTTACCAAAAGGGGTGAATTGGGATTTGACGGCTGACGAGGTGCTGAGACTTTTATTTGGCCTTGAGAGCAGGGGCTTGTAGAGGCGAGGGCTCCCTCTTAGACAAAGTACAGGCTGTGAGCGTGGAGTCTCACACTGGTGCCCTGCCTGGGCCGCTTCTCTCGGCGCTCCCTGGATGTTGAGGTCAGAGTAGCCTCTGCTCTCCAGTTGTTCACTGTTCTCTAGTTGGGAGGTTTGTGTAGAATTATCACAGGGCTTTGTAGCCAACAGACATTCATTCGGTTAATGTTTGTGCAAAGATCTTATTATAGCCATTATTCCACTGACACCGACTAGCATCATTACTACATTCAGGATGGCCTGAGCACATGGACCAGTGGTCTAGGGGGGATTTGCAGACACATCACAAGGTTTCCTTAGAGTGTGGCTTTTTCCCAAGCAGCTGAGAAGACAAATTCATTCATCTGTCCAAATAAATGCTTGCTGAGCGTCCGCACTGTGCCAGGTGCTGTCCTGGGCCCCAGGACTGAGCCAGCATTCTTGGGAGTGGGAGGGCAATCAAGAAAAACAGGGGTGACATTGTTGATGAGGAGGACTAGGAAGAAAATGAGAGTTTGGGGCTGGGGATCCCTAATTGATATAGGGGATCAAGGAAGGCCTTTCTGATATGAAGACATTTGGCTAAGAACTGAGGGGCCAGTGGGACAGGGTCACCTGGTTGCACAGCCCACCTAGCTGTCTGGTGGGATCACAGAGGTTCATCCCTTGGAATAAGACAGGAGGTACCACATCTGGGCTTGGCGCCAGGCAGATGGCAGTGCGGGGGCCCTGGGAATTTTGTCCCCAGTGGCTCCTGTTTTCTCTGTAAAATAAGAAGCAGGTTGTCCGTGGAGAAGGAGGAGGTGGGACGAGAAACTGGAGGTGAGGAGGGTGGAGAAAGTGGGAATGGCCGTGTGGATGTGTGTGTGAGCACGTGTGGAGTGATGGTGTGTAGTTGAGCTCGACCTTATAGGGAACATCACGCAATGCCACATCCTGGTGGGAAGCCCGGAGGCGTCCCTGGTGTGTCTCTCTCCAGCCACGTCAGGCCACTCAGACAGGCTTGGGAGGGTCAGTGAGTTGAATTTATGTCCCGGTGGGGTCTTGCTGAGAGGCAGAGGTGGAGAAAGGAAGCAGGGAAATGAGCATGTATGCAGGGGGCTGTGGTGTGGGTGGGGGCTCAGAAAGATGTGGGGTGAGAGGAACAGAGGGTAGAAGGAGGCAGGAGCCCAGGTGGAGGTCCTGTCCAGGTCCAGGCTGTGGGCTTGGGCCAAGGAAGGGAGTGAAATGGAAAGATGTATGTGTGTGAGGGGGAGGTGTGGCTGCAGTGTGGGGCAGGACCGTGTGATCAGCTATAATTGTGTGTGAGCAGGGAGTAGTCACTTTCCTTCTCTAAAATTGGGGAAAAGGTACTTCTTCCAGGTGACTTGGGAAGACTCTGTCACATAGCTCTCACGGCTCCTGAGAGCCCCTGGGTGGTCTCCCCAAGAGCCCGCCCTAACAACTCACAAGGTCTGTGTGCCCAGTAAATAGTGTTTGCTGAGTTTGGAGAAGATCTCTATAAAACTTTTCTGTAACATCTTTTAAAAATTCAGAAAGGTTGAAATATAATCATATTTTCCAGCTTGTAGTAAAAATAGTTTGGCTGTGAAAAATAAAAATTGTGCAGGTCTAGCTATGCCGGCACTGTAGTTTTAAAGTATCAATTAACAAAAAAGATTTTTCATATGGCCCTAAAAGGGAATGAATTGTGTATGAAACTTATTACTTTACATCAGAAAGAGTTTTTTTAAATTACTAAGACCATTTACAGAGAAAATTGCCTTGAAAACATTCAATAAATGCAAAGTGTTCTTTTTTTCCGTAGACATGTCATTTTGCAATGCCTACCACTGTGAGTCTTTGAAAACATTCCATTTTACAAGAAGTATTAAGAAACTTTCACATTTGTATTACTATTTGGTTTTTAACACTAGATCTTTTGACTTTTCCTAATCACTTTTTATATGTAGGTTTTCAAAAACATTAAAACCATTATCAAAGCCTTTAACCTTATTGATGTTAACAAGACTGGACTGATTCAACCACATGAACTAAGAAGAGTTCTGGAGACCTTCTGTTTGAAGTTTAGGGATGAGGAATACTGCAAGTAAGTGCACACAGGCGTGGGAGGGGCCACAGCAGAACTTTCAACCCATTAAGGAATGAGACCTGTTGGGTTCACTGGCTCCATCTCTCACCCTCCCCCCCCAAACTTCCTTTTCAAGGAGGCATTCACTGGGCTTTCTCCATCAATTCTATGAGAACTAATGGTTCGCAGTCCCTAAACAGGCTGGGGCGAGCCCTCTGGCCTGCAGGTGTGGCTGGATTACTGAGTGTCCATCCCCAGTTCTCTCTTTGCCCGGCTAGGCGCCGTGACTTCCATCCCAGCATTTTCAGTTCACAGTTGATTTTCCCTCCAAGCCTGGGGTTAGGAGAGACAAATTTCAGGGTTTATTCATTTGTTGGTGTGCTCCCTGTTGGCTCTCCATCCTGATATAATACCAGAAGCTTAATTTTCCATGGAGGACTGTCATTGCTGAGGTGGTGGTGGGGGGTGTGACGGGGAGATAATGAACAGCAGAACATTTAGCAGCTTCATGGCGTTTGAAGGCTGCCACCACCTGCTCCTGACTCAAGGGCAGCACACAGAAGCTTCCAGGGAACTCCAGATTATTTAGAAGCCAAACGCCTGGCTTCTGTGGCCACTCCAGCTGAGAAGGAAATCCCCTAGAAGAATGGCCCAAGTGCAGCTTCCTTCGTACAGTACCTTGCCAAGAGGTCCTTTCCCCAAACACTCTTCTAAATACCCTCCAGGCCATTAACAAAAGCTCTGAGCTCATTATTTCTCCTGGAGCCTAAGCTTTTCACATTACACTGGCGTTCTCAGTTGCCATTAAAATGGATCCCTTAGCTCCTTGCTCATCTCATAAAGACATAGTGGCTACCACTGTGGGTGGGGCTGATAAACCTGCCCCTGGGCACAAAGTCTAGCAGGCCTGTGACCTGTCAGGGTGGCTGCAGGGGCTGAATGGGCAGGCTGACTTTAGAAAATGCCGATTTCCTACTCTTTTGAATACTTTCTTCTTCTTTTTTCCTCTTTATAACCCACCTCCGAATATAAAAGACATAATAGATGTTTTAATTTTTATATCTTTTCCGGCTGGGAAAATGTCCAGAATAAGATCCAAACAAAACAAATTAAATAATTTTGTGCACGCAATTATAGAACAGAGGCAGCGCTCTTCTGAAACAGGCAATCAAACAACAAAACAGTGCTTTATTTGACAATAAACCTTGTGTTGGCACTGCAGTCTCCAACCTAGTAAATCTATAAAAAATGTTACTGTCTGTTTCCCCATCTCGTAAGTATTGAATAATAAAGAACTCCACAAATTTTTATTTGAGATTTTTTTTTTAAGCCTCAAAAACAATGCTGTTTTCACGATAAGGCTTGGGAAACTTAACATAATAGATTTTTTTTCCTTAGAGTAAGAAGCACAGAGGATCAAAAGGAGACCATTTCTTCAATTGCTTTAATGCTTTTCTCATTGAAGCTCAAGAATATTCTCTTTCCTCGAGTAGCTGCTTCGGTATTAACTTTGCCTTTTTAGTTTTTGAGCAGAAAACACAATGCATTTGTGAAACCTTCTTTTATCCAACAGCTTTTCTATTTTGTATCAACGTTTGGCTCTCGCTGCAGTAGAAATGGCCTTGGCTTTAAAGTCAGGCAGGCTGGGGGTGAAGCCTGTGCTCTGCCCGGCACAGTTCTCAGGCCCTGGGGAAGGAAGGGCCTGGGCCTCTCTGAAATTCAGCTTCCTCTTATGGAAATGGGAACTGAGCAGCAACTCCCGGCAGGGCTGGGATGAGGGTTCACTGTGACGCACACAACATGCCTGTCAGCTACCTGCTCTTAGTAGGTGCCCGGTTCATAGTGACCGTATCATGATTGTAAACATTCCGTGAGTGCCCTTTACTCTTTGATAAATAATTCCTTTTTGGCTGCAGAATACTGTCCAGTCTATGTAAAACAAGAGGCCAGAGATGAAAATTATCCCCATGTTTTAGACTTAATCTGGGGTCACCTGAAATCTATCAGGTCCATTGGATTTCTCGCCCCACTGTACCTTCCTTTGCTCAGCAGGCCAAAAGCATTTGATCTAGGCGAAATAATTTATGAACAGCCTTGTCAAACAAAGCACTAAATGTCGGCCTGTTTCCTGTGTGGCTGGGTGAAGCACAGTTCCAGGTGGCCGTGCTGGAGAGGCTTCGGGGATGATTGGGGTCATTCCCTGCTCCCTGAATTCAGCCTTCCCATATGACTGGCTTTTCCTTGCAGGCCTGTGCACCCTCCTGTCCAGACTTCAGGGCCCTTTGACGCTGGCCCTGCTTGTTGTATCTTAGGAATGGTTCTGTTTCCCATCCTTTCTTCTTATAAAAAGCCTTTTGAGATGCTATATTTTTGTGCAGTGCTGAGGCTTTAGTTTTGAAATTTCATCTGCAGAAAACATCACCATAGTATTCTTTCTGCCCTCGATGACTGTGCAGCAGGTACTGTGAGGGGGGATGGCCTGGGAATTGAGACAGGGCAGGGTTCTCCCGTGAGCAGATACCAGTTTTAAGGAACACTGCACTTCCATCGAAAACCGGAAGGCTGGCCATGAGCTGACATTTTCCTGGTGCAGCAGACTAGCTCACACTTACTACACGACAGGAACTCAAAAAGGAGGACGTTAGGTGCCACCTTCCGGGTTCTCAAGCTTACCACCTCATTTTCACAAGCCAGAGACGGTGACTGAAAGATGAGCTGCTCAGGGAGACTCAGTGTGAACACCTGGCAGCTGCCGTGTCTAAAAATGAGTTTTCTTATTAGAACAATAGGCAAGATTCATCAGAGTGAAAAAAAAGGTATGCATTGAAATGAATAAATGACATTATTCTTTGTTAAATTTAGAAAACAGAAAAATAACAAATACTTTAAGTGATAATTACTAAACTTTTAGAAAGCAGTATGAAATTAGATAATTATAGAACTCAACACATATGGAGATTCTATAACCAAACATTTAAAAACTGTCAATTTTCAGAAATGTAATAACACAGAAATGATCTAGAAAACCATTTATCAAGTGACAGGTTTAAATAATAGAAAATTCATTTTTAAAAAATCAAAACATCCTACTTAACTTTAAAAAAGAGTATCTCAGTATATTTTAAGGCTAGACAGTGGTTAAGTGTTTTAAAAATTCCTTATTATATATAAACATCACAGACTGCTTCAAGAAAAGCTTTGTCCCCTTCACCATCCACTGTTTTGAAACCACTTGCCATCTGTGGGCCTCCGTTTCCCTCCAGAGAAACACACGCAGTCAAGACCATCCTCTATGCTCACCCCTCCACCCAGCTCTAGATTTCCATGGTGATGGAAATTTTATGCTAACGGACTCGTATCCCTCTGATTATTAAAGGCAAGTGAGACCTGCTTCTGCTGTCTGAGTGGAGAGGTGGTGCTTTGCAGTCTAAGCCCCAGCTCCCCTGCCCTCATCCTGGAGAGGGAGAAGCCCCCCAGGTGTTTATGTGCACCAGGGACACCCCCAGCAGGGCCCGTGATGTCTCTGTCTCATTCAAACCTCCATGCAGCCATCTGTAGGTCAAAGAAGTGGAGTAGCTGCATTAAAAAAATCATACAGTAAAATTTCCTAGGGTTTATTTTTAAATTCCAGCTGTAGCTAGAAACAGACATTAAAATGAATGAATATCAACCTCAGTACAAAGGATACCTTAGTAACAAACTTGTTTCGCTATAGATTCACTGTATCATAATTTCTGATTTCAAAAGAATGTTTATATTTTAGGTTTTCAAAACACTACAACATCGATAAAGAACCTACAGTGGATTACAATGCTTTTTTGAAGAACCTTAGCATAAATAATGACTTGAACCTTAGATATTACATGATAAACCAAGGTAAGTATTTTTTAAGTGTGTAACAAAAGATTTCAGTATCTTTTGGCGTGGAATTCCTCTTCTGTGAATCTTTTCTGGAGGAAATACTTTCAAATATAGAAAATACATCATCTACAAAGATAGCCATGCTATCATTATTTATAAGAATAATGTAACTTCCTAACAGTAGAAAAAGGGTTGTGTGAGGTGCAGCGTCTTCGCATAATAAAATGTGCAGCCAGGAAGAATGATTGCCACAAAGAATTAGTGATAACATAGAAAATGTATATGGAAAATCCATAACTGATTAGAAAATATTCCAAAATATGATAGATTGTCTCTAAGTGATATGTCTCTGGGTGTTAGTTTATTCTTCCTTCTGCTGCTTCTGTAGTTTCAAAGATTTTTCATAATAAACATATCATTCTTTTTGTTGTTGTTGTTGCAGTTTTTGGCCAGGGCTGGGTTTGAACCAGCCACCTCCAGCATATGGGGCCAGTGCCCTACTCCATTGAGCCACAGGCACCACCCTATCTTTCTTTCTTAATGTAAAAGGGCAGACAGTTGAGTAATTGACAGTGACGTCAGACTTGGAAGGCCAGGTTTATGTAGGCAGACAGCCTTGAGACCAGTTAGCCTTCCTGGTACTAACAGTCTTTATCTTTACCTCATCAGTATAATGCTCAGAGTTATCAGCCTGTTGGGTGGTTTTGGAGAGAGCACGGGTCCAGCCCATTGAGGATGAATGTACCACATATCAACAGTTCAATCAGACACTCGCCCTTGCTGGCCTGTGGTCATCTTCCTCGCCTTAAACGGGATTTGTCCTTAGTGGATTATAGCATCAGAGGTTTGCCACCACGGCCTGTTCAACATGGCTTGTTGCTGTCTGCTTTCCATTTAATCAGTGCAGCAAAGAGTCATTGGACGCCTCCTGTGATTCTCAGAGCCACTTCACTAGCAAGCTGAAAAATGACAGATTCTCAGGTTTCAGCCTGGTTTCGCTACGCCAGATCGCTTACAGCAGACTCCAGGATACAAACGTGTAAAGCCTCCCATGCCGGGTACTCTGCTAAGCGTGTCTTTCTATCATCGTTTTGTATTCCCCACAGCTCTGTGAGGCAGGTACTGATGCAGATGAGTAAAGGATTGAAGTAAACAACCAAACCAATCCCACCACCGAGAAATAACCACTGTCAATATTATTCCTGGCATTTTCCATGTGTATATACGGAAAGGAGGGATAGATAAAAAGAAGCACATTTGTAAAAATGGATTTATATAGAGGCTGTTGTATGTAAGAATTTACTTTTACTTGAGTTTATGAGAAAGATAGAAATTTAAATGAAATTCAAGAAAATAATGGATTTATATCGGCTGCATATAATATCAATGGGTCACATTTTTCCTCCTTAAAACACCGTGGACTGATCCATTGTCTGCTGGTACAGAGTCTGGCTGTGGAGAAGTCTGACGCCTCTTAATTTCCTCTCTTATTGGTGATCTGCTTTCCCTGGCTGGTTGCCTAAAGAATTATTCATCCTTGAATTTCTTTGGCATAGCTGGTATATGTCTTAATGTTATACCTTCTGCATCAATTTTTCAGAACACAGACTATTTTCACTCTGTAAATTCAATTTTTTCTTCAATAATTTTTAGTAATAGTATGTATTTTTAATAAATCTTTCATCTACCGATTTTTAACTTCAGAGATACAAATTATCCTTCAGTTGGATTGTCTTTGTCTAATACATCTATTAAATTCTAAGTGCCTTATTATTTTTTGTCTTTTCCCTGTGTATTCATAATGACCATCTTAAATCTTTTATTGGAACCTGTAATTTGATTTTCACCGAGGTCTATTTTATTTCTTGCTGTCTCTAATTTACTTATTACTTCTATAATACCATTTCCTCAGGTCTACTGTATTATTTCCCATCTCATTCTTTTTTATTTTATTTTTTTTACCATCTTGTCATTGAGTTCTTGTTTTACTGAAAAATATCCAAGATATGGATAATGTGAATCGCTGAAAAGAAAACCAAACAAGGAATGGAACAAATACTAAAAATTTGCATTCAGGAAATGTTCCTAAAATAAAAGAGACACAGATATGAAGATTTAAATAGTATACATTGTACTCAGGAAACCAGTCATGAGTATCTAGATCATGACATGTTCAACCAAATTATTGGGATTTACATAAAAAGAAAAGATTCTCTGGGTATACAGGCAAAAGACATCAAGTTACAAATAAGGGAAGTAAAATCAGACTGTCTTTAAACTTTTCCTCAGCAAAAACTTTATGTCATCAGTCAAGAGATAAAGATACTTACGATGCTTAAGGAAGGAAAATTTGAGCCAAGACTTTTATATCCAGAAAAATTGATTTTTCAAGTATTTAGGTCATGGACAAAAATGAACATGTAAGAAACCAAAGAATATTATTTCCATGAGGATTTCCTGAGGAATCTAGAAAACAAGCTTTAAATAACCAGAATGATGGGAGAGAGAAACGTGAGAAGATAGAAGCAAGGAAGGGAATACGGTAAAGGTTTTCACTCCTAATATGGCAATCTTGCAGACTGAGATAGAAAGACCCACTTCTTAATGACTCAAGCAAAAAGGAACCAAAAGATAAATCAAAACTTACAAGTCATCTTTGAACTGCTCCAGATAGTGGGATGGGCACACCTCAGAGACATTGTCAGTTCAGTCCCAGAGTGAGTGTCACAACCCATTACCTTTGGCTTTTATAAACAAAGAGCAACATATTCTCTTAGTTTTAAATTCTTCCACTCTGGCCACCTTAGATCCTTAATAAGCCATCACCATCTTGCTCATCAAAAGCACCATCTATTTGAACACATGAAGAAGTGATGCTGGGAACTGCTTTTCTATATTGGTGACCTACATAAACCACTTTAAGCTTTGGATTTCTTCTCGGATTCAAATCAACAAGGATCCTTCAGAGGAAATTTTGGGAAAATCAGAAGGTGGCAGGAATTGTTAAGCCACATCGAAGACTGAAACCTGGTGTACCTGTGGTGAGAGTAGAGTCCCTGAATGCACCCCAGCTGGTCCTGCCGGCCAGCCTGGGGCGGCAGCTACAGCAGGCGGACAGGTGGACTGGGGCCACAGGCTCCCCAGGGCAGGCCTCGCACCCCCCACCCCTCTCCACCTCCCAAGCTGGGCTTAGTGTTTGAACAGGGCACCAGCGGCCTCCCTAGGTGTGTCATAGGTGTGTTCCCGTGAATTGCTATGTAGAGTAGCGGCCTCACAGGGTGGAATGAGGACAGGCTGAAGGATCAGAGAGGTGTGGGGAGACCTCTGTGTGCCGGACACGTTGGATGCTGGGTCTGCGATGTGGATCCCTCCCCTTCCAGTGAGGCTTCTGGCAGCTTATATGTCCTGAGATCCCAGGTTTCAAATGCTTGGCCCACTGAAGCCATAGAATTCCAGACCATGTTCTAAAGGACTAGCTTTGTGTTTTATTATATGGCCTAGAGGGAGCCACTTGGGGCGACTTTTTTTTCTTTCTTCCTTTTTTTTTTTTTTTTTTTTGTTTTTTGGAGATAGGAAATGCAATTCCAGATGACTGGCAGTTTGTTAACTGCTGCTGAATTAAGTGGGCTTAATTTGGCTGAAGCTTATTTGCAGACATTTTAGGAAATAAATCTGGGAAACCATTTGTGATTCTTTGCAGTTGAATTTGAGAAAGAAAGGGCTATATTTTAGATTTATTTCATCTTCTCTTATTATAAAAGTAATACATGCTTGTTATAAAAAAGCCAGAAAACACAAAGGCACAAAATAACAATTCCCTCTAATCCTACCACCTGAATCCTACTACTGTTTTCTTTTTGGTGTTTTATCCTCCCAGATTTGGTTCACATATGTACATAGATGATGGATGGACAGATAGGAAGATAAACAAACAAGTGGTAAGATAAGCGAGCCGGGATGGCTGACCTGAGACACCAGCTGCTAGACTGTCTTAGAAACAAGAAAAAATTTAGAGGAAAATGAAAAAACAGACAAACATAGATCAGGTGTAATTCTGAGGGGAAAGTGCCAGAACCTACAAGAGATTCCAGGGGAAGAAGTTACAGAGCAGGACAAGAAGGAACAAGACATTGGCAGAGGTCAAGGCCTGAGAGGTCTGGAGTCCAGCGAGAAGGATGGATGGAGCAATTTTACCCTCGTATCTCTGGCAGTCAGCAGCCTCCCAAGCTGCAAGAAAGCCTATCTACCCTCATGAGCCCAAAGCTGCTGCTGCCAGTGAAGTGGGAGTTTCTTGAGGACAAAGCACCAGGCTGCCAGCCCTCGTGGGGCACTGGCCTGAGCCAAGATGGCAGGTGGCATGTTGTTTCTCCACCTGCTGTCGTCTTCCCCAGGGGGCTTTAGCCCCTCCGCTTTTGTCTTTCTAGCTACCACACAAACTTTTCCCAACTCCAGCCTAGACTGCAGGAGCCACGGGGAGCCAGTGGATCCTGGGGGTCTGTGTGACCCCAGAGCCTGGACATTCCAGGTGGGTTATTTTCTGGAGAAAGGGACAGAGATGACCAAAGAGGTAGTTTTCCTCTTTTTAGACTCTTTTCCTCCCTTTCCCCTTCCCAGCCCGTGGCTACCAAGAGAGACGACAGAGCTGGGTTCTTGGGAGCTGCTGCTGGTGTATCCACCACACTGGGGCTTCCATAGAGAGTAGGGCTCAAACCTTTCCTCTTGAAGACTGGCTGCCGACTAAGGGTTGCTCAGACTGTGAGGGCCCTGCTCACCTGCCTCCTTGAGCTGCTTGCCAGGCTGCTCCATCAAAGCATGGCACACCCCAAAGCAGAGGGTTGCCAAACTGTCTTGAGTACTCCATAGGCAAGTCAGGACTAGCGTGTTTCTCCCTGGCATGATCAGAGATTAATCTTCAGGGACCCAGGGATAGAATCACAGGCCAAATCCCATACCCCCTGGACTCAACTGTGTTGCTTATGGGCACAGAGGAGGGACTTATGAATGAGTCTTGGGAG